TTCCATCCTCTCTCCCTGCAACAATTTCCCCATTGATTCAACAAGTGGTGGGCTGGGGCTTCTGGGCAGAGCGACTCATGAGAGACTTTCCCTTCACAAACAACACTCTATTTTAAACATCTCCGCTCCTTCTAACTGGACTCACAACTCCAGAAGTTAAAAGGAGCCCGGAGAAACGGTGCCTTAGATTGCGGAGCGTGACCTCCAGTGAGCAAGTTTGGATTCATCCTGGTTTGGGGCAACTAATTCTGATCCTATGCATCATCAAAGCCTCCTTTATTTCTCCTCTGTGTTTCTCCTTCCTCAGCGTGTATCTGCTGTTGAATCATGTCCGCGCCCCTCCGGGATGACCTCACCGTAATGAGGTCAGCGGGGAGCAACTCACTCTTGTTTGCATGGTTCCCCACAGCCCTGGGAGATTGGAAGCAACAATGCCCCAAATTACATGAACATAACGCCGAATCTTCCTGGAAAGATCGGTAGCCGCAGAGTCACGCAACAGATTTCCTGACGTGGCTGTCCTTTCAAGATACCGTCACCAAACAGACACACAAACAGCCGCCCCCGCCCCCCCAGTGCTGTTAATTTAATATGCACTTGGTAAGCTTTAATGGAATGATCACGGGTCACTAGCAAAATAACTTGACAACAAGCCCTCCTGGGCACTGACAGTTCAAGGAAGGCAGAACACACGGCGTTTTGCTTCCACGACAGAAATAAAACCTGAGTGAAAGTCTTATGGCGAGTGACCAATTTTGATTCTGCTATACGTGTGTGGTTGTATCCTGAGTAGAAAAGCTGAACAGTCTCCGGCATATTGTACAACCCCCAAAACCAGCCACAGGCTCAGTACTTTCACACTGTAAACAGGAGAAGCCGTTTAGTCTCTGACAGGGGGCGGGCTCTGGAGTTCCAGCCAAACACGGGCTCTGACTCTGCCACTTCGGAGAAAGCACTCGAGTTCTACATGCCTCCAGTTTTCTCAGCTTTAAAATGGGTCTAATAATAGCACTTACCTACAAGGATCTTGTTGAGGATAAAATAAACTGAAATATGTATAAAGCTCTCAGAGCACTCCTTGGCATGTTATAAATGCTCAACCAGCATTCTCTGCTTTTACAGAAAGCAGCCACCTAGCACAGCAAACCTCGTAAAGTTGCGTTGCTTCTGCTTTCTCAGTATCTGACTCTGCAACTGTGTGATGCTGACAAATGGGGAGACCTGAGGCACTGGGCTGCTGGCCTCCTTGTATGCCTTCCTAGGACTGTCATCTGCACCTTCAGTTTTTAGGCATTCATGGGCGTCAAACGTTCTGTTGCCTGATATAAAAAGGCGAGAACGCTTACATTTTCTAATTTGGCAGAAACCAAACAAAGAGCGCACATTCAGGGTTCGTAACTTTAAGTCTTCAAAAAAAAAAAAAACCTTTATTCCAAATAGAACATAAATAATTCTTAGTGACAGTAATTGTTGTGAGTACAGTGAAAGATCTACAAAGCGATTTCAAACTATTTCTATGCAATGTTTCTAACATAATACACTTTATATGCATGCTGAGGAATATTTACAGAACACCGGTTAGAGACCATTATTTCTCAAGCCCCTACGCCTATGAGGATGACGGTATCTGATACAACACCTTTGTCAGAAATCTCTTAAGACAAAGACGGAGCTGGTTTTCAGTCTCAGCCTGATGTATTTTTAAATCGAGCCACAGGGAAACAGTTACTTTTGTTTCTATTCAGCCGAGACCTGCACACAGAGTTTATGGAATGACATAATATCCTTCCTGAATCAGAGCGGTGTGTAGGGCCAGCATCCTTCACACAGCCGGTTCCCGAGCCTTTACAAACAACTCCCAATTTCCAAGGAAACAATCTCATCGAATGCCGCTCACCAGAACTCATATTGTTCCTTCTGGAAACATTACAATAAGAATTTTCATGATTACAAACCCCAACGGCCCCCCTAAAATTCAATATACTCTTCCACGCATTTATTTCAGTGGAATGTGTTTGCATCGTGGCTCTAGACAATAATTTACTTGGTTGTTGTTTTTTTTTTAGTCTGGGAGGGGGTGGTCAGAACTTCATAAACTGAGTGTGTATACGTGGGTACAGGGGTGTGTCTTTCACATGGGCCCGTGCTGGCCTGGCGACTTCCTAGGAATGTTCATCTGTGTAGTTTCAGCGGACCTATCCTGGACCGGGGAGCACGTTTTAAACTATTTTTGGAGAAGGATGAGTTCCAGTGAGGTTCGGGCAGTTGCTCTCTTTCCTCTGAGAATAAAAAGGAACATCCAGTGGCTTGTCATCGATATCTCCTGGCCGGAAGCTGTGCTTCTGGGCACGGGGCACGGGACTTGTTCTGAGGTTGGGGACTTATCTGTCCTTGGCCACCAAAGAACGGTGTCAGCCAATCCAGGGCGACCACTGACAGCCGCGCACACAGGGGCGGAGAACGTGGCTCGCACTGTTAGTCTCCTGCCCTTCAGACTGGAATTCTCACTCTCTCCTACCACCAAGACTTTTCTTAAGGACCCCCGGGGGGGAGGGGAGGAGTGAGTCCCCCCCCACCCCGCAATGCCCCTACTAACTAAATAAACAAGTGTCTGAGTTTCAGAGGTGACCGAGTGTGAGGAACCTGCAGGCGAGCCCCTAAAATGCCCCCTGAGTAGACCTGCCTGATTGACGCTGTAGGACACACTCGTCAGTTTTGGAAATGTTTGATTCCCCGTCCTACCTGCCGTGGGCTTTCCCGGTGACCTTAGGAATGTGGCAGCTAAGTACTGCCACTGTTTGCTGAAAACTGAAGCCTGGAGCTACTTCTACAAGTTACTTGTGCGACGTGGCAGAGGCATCCATAAGTCGCGAAGGGAAAACAATAGTTTGCAAAGCTGGGTTGTTAGCGTGAGGCAGAGCCAAGAGAAACCGGAGTCCGCCCCAGCCTTCTGCTGCCGGCCACTCACCTTGCTGAATTTTGGTCACTAGCTGGTGGCGCGCTAGAATCCGGCTCATCCTATACGGAGAGCGCCTGGCTGTCTGATCGAACCGCAGGTACAGGTCCTGGCCCTCCGGGGTCCCGGGACGGAGGTAGTAGCAGCCCGCCGACGCCGGGGGCCTGGCTCCCGGACCCGACATCTCCAGGGCGGAGGTGCTGCCGCCGCCCCAGTCCGCCCCGTGGCCGCGTCCGTCCGCCTCCAGCCTCCGCGCAGGAGCCAGGCGCCCAGCCCCGCCGAGCCGCCCGGACCAGGCGATTTTTAAAAAGGAAAAGGAGTGCCGAAGCCACAACTCGGAATGCCAGCCCCCCGGCCTCCACGTGACCGCGGACAGCCAATCCCGGGGAGGAAGGAGCCGGGGACCCACACCGCGCGCCTGCCACCGCGGGGAGACTCGCGCTGCTGCTGCCGCCGCCGCGGCTGGGGTCCCCGCGCCTGGCCGGGAGCGAGCGAGAGTGTCAGCGGTGCCTCGGGGCTGAGCAAGCGCCCAGGGCATCTGAGCAGAGAGAGGGAAAGAGCCGGGAGGAGGAAGGGCAGGAGGAGGCCACATTACCCCCAGGCCTAGGGATTCTTCAGTCTGTTCAAGTTAGAGTAAGCGCCTTTTCCCTGGCAGGCAGCTGCCGCCAGACCCAAGACGCCTGGAGGGAAGAACTAGGTGCTGGGAATGAGCGCGAGACGCTGCGTGCAAATGACCACCCTTCACGGCGAAGAAGTGAAGCAAAGGAAGCTTTTCCGGTGAAATCAGACCTCAGGTGCTCGAACCTCCAGAGTGCGCACCGCCAGGGCGTGACCCTCGGCAGGGGCCGCTGAGAGCCCTTCCAGATAAGGCTGCGCCGGGCCCAGGGCGCCAGCCAGTCTGCGGAACACCTTCTCTCGAACGCTTCTACTGCCCCCATGTTTTCCTGTTGTTTACGCTACTGTAGTGCTCCCCGCTTTCCCCCTTCTTTCCCATCTGCGCACAAGGGGGTGGGACGTCCCCAATTTTTAATCACCAGGAAGAAAACTTCTTATGGAGCACGTTTCACGTGTAGGACGCCGCCAAGAGCCGTTGTAAAGACGCAGGCTGGCGCGCAGGTGCTGTAGGAGGCCAAGCTGCTCGGGACCCTAGCGAGGTCCCTCAGAAGCTTTCCGACCTGCACCCGGTGTGAAAAGGTGCCTCAGAAAAAGACACAAGCCCCGTGAGAAGGGCGCAATATTAGTTTTGACAGGGGTGAGAGGGCAGACCACCAGAGCAGGAGACCTCTGGGTGGGCTTTGCAAACCGTGGGGTTCTGACAAGCAGAGACCAGGAGGGCTTTGCAGGCGGGTGCGCGCCCACGTGTGGGGGAAGGGCAGTCGGGGTTTGTGTGTGAGTGCAAGTCATTCACCCAGGCCATATGTGAGCAGTTAGAACACCCCCCGCCCACCCGCCAATTTTTTCCTATTTAATATTGTTTGATGTGAAGACAAAAAAAAAATGTCCGTAGAAAACATGTTATCGCATTCCAAGCCTGGGGCTGCAGGAAACGAGGTCTCTGAAAAACAAGCTTATGGCCACATTGTTCTTACACTCGGCCGACTCGGGCGGAGACCTCCTCGCCCCGCCTGCGGCTTACAGTCCTGACCACGAGGAGCGCTCCATGAACAGTGTCACGGGACCTAACGAGGACCCGGTCCTCATTGTTTACTGCGGTGTCTGAGGCGGTGGGCCCTCGGCCTGACCCTGAGAAGCGGTGTGAGCCGGGCGACTGTCCCACTGCACAGAGGTGCACGCACAGGCTGCGGGTCTCGGCGCTCTGTCCCGCGGTCTCCATCCAGGGCCTTCAGCAGAACGCGCTCTCTCGCGCGGCGACTTCCAGCCTCTTTCGGCGACTCTGCAGGAGCGGGCAGCTCGGGTCTCCCGCCACCGTCGTCACGGTAGAAAAAGAGACGCTCTCGCTGGTCTCTGCTGCTCCCTTTCCGTCCCTATTCAGGATTTGATCCGAGATTTTCTGTTCCCCAGCGTCCCTCGTGGAAGGTGACAGGGACCCAAGGTCCAGGGACTCTGCCACACCCGCAGCAGGGCCGAGATGGTGGGCGAGGTTGGCGCTGCCGCTCGACGCTGTCGGCCGCTTTCCTGACGCCGGAGGTCGCCCCCTCCTCGCTGGGAGAGGGCGGAGAGAAGGAGGAGCAGAATGTGGAGCTCGGGAATTTGGTCCCCGGGTCTGAGAAACCAGGCAAAAGGCGGGGGAATGACGGAAAGTGACGTGCAGTCGTGCAGCAGTTGCCCAGCTGCGAGTGACGCAGAGAAACAGGGGCTATTCCCAACGCCAGCCTTGCAGTTCGTTACCGACTCGGCTGCATTCTAAAAAGTAAGTGTAATCATTCCTCCCAAGAAGCACTGCAGTGTATCATTCTTTAAAAACAAAAACTCAATGCCTACTTTTGGCACAGGAATGAGCGCATGAACCCAGTGAAAGTCCTGACGTGTCTTGTTCCGAAAACTTGGAGATTGTGAGTCCGTGTTCTATGAGCTGGGCAAACAGAGGTGACAGCAGGAAACACAGTGTTTCGTAGGAGACTGGCAAGGAAGAACACGACGTGAGCATCGCTGTTTCCTCCCTGATTGGAAGACAGCTTAGAAGAAAGCTCGGTTTTTGTGAAAATCGGTCTGGGGGGGGGGGGGAGGCCTGCGGGACCACGCGTCCACCTCCCTGCCTTCCCTGTGGCGGCTGCCGGTCTAGTTTCATGGGTCAGGTGGTATCTGTGAATCCGAGCAGCAGCTCACCAGGCTTTCGTCCCTTCGCGTGACCCAAACACCAGATTTAAAGCAGAGAAGTAACTGCATTTCCCCTTTAGCGTTACATTCTTATGGAACCTGAACCTTGCAATGACTTTTCTTTCATCATGTGGTCCCACTTCTGCTGTGTTTGCTGTAAATGGAACACCCGGCGGGTAAGCACCCCGGGACCACGCTGTCTCCCCGCGAGGACTCTCCCCCTTCACTGGTGAGGGGGCGGGGTCCACAGCGACCAGGGAGAGGGGGCGGGTGCGGGAGTGCCCCAGGTACCGCCCAAGACTGGTGCTGGGTTTCTCCCTGCCCAACACCTCCCAGCAGCAGGAAGAAGGACGCACCCCTGCTCAGGGGTCACCTACTTTTCCTCTCTCCTCCAACGGCCATCGAGAGGAACCTCGCTCAGGGATAGGGTCAACAGAGGAATATTGGGGACCAACAAGGGCAGGGAGGAGAGCGAGGTGGCGGGGGAGGGGGCCGACAGTGCTGCGCGCCTGCGCGGTGGCAGGCTTTATGCTGTTGCCATCTCACGTCATTAATGACCGCCCGCAGCGGTCCTCTGGGGTCCCGCGGGACGGAGAAGGTACTGAGCCTCCGGGAGAGGAAGCCACGTCCCGGTGAAGCCAGCGCTTCCCTCCAGGCTCCTGACAGGGTCACTCCTCCGACTACGACTACGACGCGCGAAGGACAGGTGGGAGGGCACGGTGGCACAGGGGGCTGCTGGGGAAGCTGGGCGGTGGAGAGAGTTTTGGGAGGCCACGCCGACAGTCATTTGAGTTTGCTCTCATTGGATGTGGTTCTGGGATAGCTAACTGGAAACACAGGTGCGGGGTGGCTGAAACCCTGTTGTTTTCAACAGGAAACAGGAGACCGGGGGGCCTTGGGTGCCTGGACAGCGAGAGGCCCGAAACCCAGAGCCTTTCATCAGCCGCTGAGAAGTGAAGACCCTGCACCCCACCCCGGCCTGCAGGGCGGGCGGTGGGTCCCCTGGCCCTCTGCTCGTGCGCAAGGCTGACGGCACGTTGCCGGACCTTTTCCACGGCATTTCTTCTCGGTACAGACACTCCAAATACAGTCAAAACTCCGAAACGTGACCTCCAAACGAGACGCTTGGTATTTGAAATTTTCCAACCTTTTGATAGATGGCCGCAGGTTAGCGCTCGGTGGAACCCTGAGTCCACGTGGCGGAGGGTGAGGGGCGCGCCCACAGAAGCCAGGAGCGGCTCGCCGAGCCTCCCCCGCCCGCTCCTCCTCCTCCTCCTCCGTACACATTCCAGCTTCCTCCTCAGCCCGTGTGGGGGGAGCCGGGCTAGTGCTGCCAGGGATGAAAATGAGATCCGAGTGGGAGGTGGGAGGTGGAGGGACGCAGAACTGATGGGCCAGGGCTGCTTTCCAAACTCCCGGATGCCGTCGGCCCGCAAGCTCGCTTTGCGGATTTCCACCAACGGGCATGCGAGGTGTGTGCCCAGCTCTGTGCCAGTCGGCCTTTCCGATATGCGTGCACCACGCACCCGGTGACCAGTGCGGGCAGCCCGGTGACACTGACCTCCGCAGCCAGGACGGGGTACCTCTGTGAAGGGCGTCAGGGCGCATGCTCTTCTGACGCGGCTTCCCCGCCTCAGGCGCACCTCCCAAGCGGAGCCCAGTCCTGCTGCAAAGACTTCTGGGTGGCAGCCGATTTCCCTTGTTTTGTCTCCCAGCCCTCCCTACGCTTAGGCTGCCTTTGGTGCATTTCACCTGGACAGGCCGCCAACCCCTGCGGACCCAGCCCTCTGCCAGCGGGCTGGGCTGACCGGCCCCGGGCCCAGTGCTACACCCACCCATTCCAGCCGCCCAGAGTTCTTCCACGTTTCCAGGTGGCTCCGAACCTCTGGAATGGTGTGATGTCCTAACCTCCCGCCCTGTCAAAACCCAGTGCCTTCAGAGATTCTTGAATGGCTGGTGCAGAAACCTTAGTATTAACAGGCACAGTAATACCCGTGACTAGTCGTCATATGGCAGATTAATCAGGTCAGTGTGTTACATGCTCACATGGAATCCGTCTGTTTACTGCAGCTTCTATGGGCATAAAGTTTTTACACCTTGGGTTTACCTTCTAATCCAGACCCTCATCTAATGCACAAGCCGGCGCCAGCTCGAACAATCAATACTCTACCCACATATGTATTTTACTGAAGACCACAAGTCGTTCAAGAAAGTTACTCCTTAGGACTTCCATCAGCTGGCTCTGAGCCTGCCAGTTGGAATCAGACAGGGAAAACCTACTTCCTCTTCCCTGGGCCTGTCCTTCACGTGCTTGCAGAAAGCCAGCACATCCCTATACGAGTCTGTGGGTGGTGGTAGGGTTAGACGTTCCTTTCCGTCAAACCGCACACCACACAACTACCTGTTCAGCAGGCCAGCTGCCGTCTCTCGGAACTGCCCCAGTACGTCTGTATCTCTTTAAAAGCACGGCTCCAACCCTGGACGTGGGGCTGTGGGCAGGGCGAAGTGTGGCGGCGGCGGCGTCCGATGCAGTGTGTGCACGGTGCCCGCGTCCAGGCTGAGGTTGCGGGACAACCTGTTTACCCAGTCACTGACTCAGCATTGTCCGGATGCCTGCGTGCAGCGCAGGGAACAAGGGAGACGCGAAGGAATCAGCGTGGCCTGCCCCGCCCCCAGCGCCAGTCTGCCAGGGAGGTCGCCGAAAAGGAACTCCACCATTTCCCAGTCAACTGCGGTGCCTGAGCCACGTGGTGTTCAGGCACCCTCCCGCGCTCCACCACGAAAGGGGTGCCCTCCATCCTGTGCTTTAGGAGGTGGCCTTTCAAACTTAAAAACGGGTCTTTCAAACTTAACTGGAATTATTGAGATAGTTTCAATTCCTGATGTTCTCCTCCAGCTATTTAATTCTGCCCTGTTCTGTAATGCAGCTGATAAAAATAACTGCCTTGTAAGAGTGTAAAATAAATGGTTGAGCGAGTCTGGAGGAAGGTAAAGCAGGGTAGGAAACCCCCAGCTGTAATCGGCTTATCGGTACACAAGCCACACGAACAATGCTGCACCTCGGGGGGAGGTGGCTGAAAATGTGGCTTCGGACTCCTACATGACAGAGCAAAAGGGAAACACGACCGAGCAAACAATTCCCTGTCCCCGTAAGACAAGCAGCGTGGTGACTCGGGATAAGCACAGACCGCCAGGTATGGGGATGGGAGGGAGTTTTTTCCCGGGTCCTCACAAAGAATCAGAATCCTCAGTGATACTGCGTACGATAGCAAACCCCAGTTCACGTCTTGCTTTGTGTTGGAACTGTACCCTTCAGGGACAACAAGAGTGTGACAATAAAGCACTGTTTAGGAAAAGTCATTTCTGAGAGGCCTCCCCGAAATGCAGGGTGGAGGATGCCATTCCTGGTGATCCTCTGAACTGGGTACTGCACTCTCTCTCTCTTCCCTGCTGAAGACGTTTCCACTTTCCCGTCGCACCTGGAACAAAGTGCACACTCACCGCCTGATGCACGAGGTTCTGCACGTCTACCCCTGCTCACCACGCCCCGTTTATCCACCAGCCTCCGCCCCTCAGCCACCTCGGGGCCTCCTTCCTGCAGGTGCTGCTCCTCGGCCTGGAAGCTCTTCGTGGAGTCCCTCCCATCCCCGGCTCCTGGGCAGTGTTCGGGCATCCGCTACGCTAATTCAGCCTCAGGCACCCCGAGTAGGCCCATTCCCGCCTACTTTCCTTAAGCAAAGCGGCACCCCGTGGGCCGTCTCTAGCGCACCTTTCCACCTGTGTAATTACTCATCGGTTTTCTCACTGACCTGTGTGCTGCCGCCTTTTTCTCCAGTGGACTGAGATATCTAGAGCACGTCTACTTAATCCCCATTCTCTCATTGCTGCCCACCCCAAACCTCGCACGCAGTACGACATCAGTAGTGACTGGCTGCATAACCGGTCGAGGAAGCAATTGAACAAATGATGATCTAAATTACCCCAAGGATACAAGTGAGAAGGTCTAGCAGAATGGAGGCACATTTTTAAGGCAATGATCATAAATGTTGTTGCTGATTACGGCAGCTGGGACTGGGTAAGGGCCAGACAGCAGATAAGTCAAGGTGTGATTCTCTGGCGAGACCTTACATGCACGTATTTCACTTCACTGGTCAGTGGAAAAAGTCTGTGCTCTGGCCATTGAACAGAGGCCGTTTAAGGTCCCCTGTGAAATTAAGGAGCCTGCAGGGATAAGCAACACTTGCTCCGTAGAGAGAGGCTGAAAGGCACCCTCCAGAAATAAGCTGTCTTCCTTAGCTCTGAGTCAGCCCCAAATTCCATGAGGTTGCCAGCTGTGCCTTCCATTAAGAAGTCATTCCTTGTGGGCCAGTTGTTCTGTGCGGACCCACTTTTGCTGCTTCATGCCCATACATGTTCTTGAAGAATTCTTTGAATCATGTTGCTGGGAATTTTAATTAATCTACTGCCTGGTATTTTCTAGAACATATACATTTTTGCCCTAATTGAAAATAAAGGTAATAGCTCATTTTGGGTCTTTCTCTTTCTCTTTCTTACTTCCCTCCCTCTCTCTCCCTCTCTCCCTCTCTCCCTCCCTCCCTCCCTCCCTCCCTCCCTCCCTTCCTTCCTTCCTTCCTTCCTTCCTTCCTTCCTTCCCTTTTCCTTTCTCTCCCCCCACACACACCAGATTGCTTAGATTACTAGAAGGGATCTTTCAGTCTCAGGTGTCATTCGTCTGTACTTAGAGATGTATCCTCACATCAGCTTAGAATGATAACCTCCTTCCCCATCTTGTACAACAATGAGTATATTTTCTTAATATTAACTCATATCATAATGTGAATACAAAAGGGAAGCTTGCTCGTGAAAGAAAGCTTACGATGACCCCTTCGGAAAGCCCTTTATTGACTCTGCGCATTATCTGCTGTGGAATGCCTGAGACCACCCAACGAAAGGCACGCCGTTATTAAGACGCTCAGCCGCCCCGCTGCCCGGGGCCCAGCCTGCATTGCTTTGTGCGACTGCTTCCCACCTGGTGTCAGGCAGCGGTTGTGCACTGAGTCAGGTTTGGAAATAGCCACGCCCACAAAGTGGGGAGGAATCAGGATGTGGCCTTAGTAATGCCAGTGCACTCCTTATCTATTAAAGCCACACACGCCTCCTTAGATAAGCTCAGCGCAGTGCACTAAGAATCGGATGGAGTTTTTCCCTTCCTCAGTTCCCACGTACATCCACCCACCTGCACTGCACAGGACGGGAGCGGAGCAGGGCGGAGCGCCGGCGTGGGGCACATCCCACAAAGAGAAGGCTTTGGGAAGAACTTGAAGAGGTAGCAAAATAGCTCTCTAGCCCCTAGCTATCACTACCAATGGAACTTTGGGGTGACAGGGAGGACAAATTCCAGGGTTTCTTTGGGCTTGAAGAAAGGATCTAGCCAAAGGGTTCTGGTGTAATGAAAACACGGTTTATGCTGGCATCTTGTTCGTCAGCAACAGAGACAAAGCCACGGACTAACTCATGCCACAGATTCTTCCTTCCACCCTCTCATAGTCAAATATTTCTAGTACGTACTCCATGCCAGGGAACACATGGGGACACGCCGGGGACACACCAGGCACAGGTGCGGGACAAGGGTGTCCCTCTTCTCCACAGTGTGAGTGATCATGGGAAGAGTGGGGGAC